TGTCGTTGTCAAATTTGCTGAGGGTGCATTCAATGCCATTGTCCATGTCACTGACAAAGATGTTTTAGCTCAAAAGCGTCTGGTGCTACAGTTTTGTTTGCTTTTTCCTTTTGGGTTCTTTCAGCTTGGCGAGCTGATTCCTATCCCTGCTGACAGCCTTCCTCCTCCAGCCATATCGAGCCATGTAAGTACCAAACATCAGGCTGCAGAAAACTGAGTCGAAATGTGCAAAACCAGGCGATACACACTTGGCGGACATTGCAGGCAGATCTCTGCACAACATGATTTTCCACTGAGGCTTGTCAGTACAAAAGAATCATCCTGCCACTGCCTGCAAGTTGATTCACACTGGCCAGTCATCTGCTTCTATTATCTTCTGAGGCTCCAAATATTACGGAGATAAAGCAGCATCTATGAAAAATGCAGAAAAAAACCCAGGCTGCCTAAAAATAAAAAATAAAATTAAAAAAAAAACACCAGAAAACAAGAGCATACTGTTTCCTAACACTGAAGTCAGTGATATCAAGCCCTGGTTCTTTTCAAGGAAACTCACAAAAGTATTTCTGAAAAGCAGGTTTTCTTTATAAAGGTTATATTTCTGTATTAAAAGTACATCATCATCACCTGTACGTAGCTTACCCCACAGCGTGCAGAGGGTCTGTTCTAAAGCCTCAATTGTTAGTTTGTACCTGACCCCATTGTGCAAGTTATTGTCCTGCCCTGCATGAGAACGTGCTATCTGTCCCAAAAAAATTGCAGGAGGTTGAAAACCAAGAAGTGGTGCAGAAGGGATAGAGAAGGGGCTCGGTGGTGACAGGTTAATTGATGTGAACTGCTGAGATAAGGAAAGGCCAAGGGAGTGCTAGGAAGGGGCAACGGGAAGGAAGATCAGCTCTGGCCAGGACGGCTTTCGGACACCTCGTTATGTGACACACCAAATCGATGACAGGTAAAGTGTTCCAGCTACACGGCTTGGGGGTGCTTTTCAGAGGCAGGGCAGGGGCAGATCCTCCAGCATTCAGTGTTTGCTTTATTTAGAAAAATTATTCAGTGTCTGAATAGCGGGTTTAACGTATCTCTTTGTATGTCTTGAAACAACAGGGGTTTCAGTCTCTCCCAGCACTGAGTCCGGTATCAAATACGAACCACAGAAAACCAGCGGTAAGTATGAGATTAAGTGTTGTAACCGTCGAGCTCTGCTTTGAGAGATGACAGTTCGTGTCTTGATGGAGAGATTTGAGAGATTTCCTCTTCGAATAAATAGATTTTATTTTAGAAATTCACAAATACACTTCTTTAACCAGCTTAGACATCTCAGAGACAATTTTTGATTGTTTCCTCCAGATCTATTTTCCTTTCCCATCTCAAAGGAAACAAAAATAGGTCACAGTTCTGAATTAGGAATACTTCTTTATTCAGTGGCTGTACCTACAACACACAATAATTTTTAAGGTAACAGTAGTATTACAATTAAATCCTCACGATGCTGTTTAGTTTAGATTGACACTTTGGAATCTAAGCCCTTCATTTGAAATACTTAAAGAAACCAAAGTAACTGAGTCACATCAAAAAGAAAAACCAACACGCCACCCTTAAAAAATACAAAATGCAGATTAGTTCTTGCATCGGAACCATTTGACTTAGGCATGCTACTCCTTGTGTTTCACAAGAGTGCACTTTTAAGTGGTATATGGTCACTTCTTATTACTTATTTCCACGCTCATAGGATTTGGGATATCATTTGTGCGATAACTCCAAGACTTCTGCCTAAAAATATTAGCTGCTTTTAAAAGACTGTTATTTTTTAGGAGTATATAATCCTTATGGTTTCTTTGATATTCAAAAATTTCTGCTATGGGTCTTGTGGCTTCAGAAAATAAATGCTGTGGCAGAAATTTAATGTTATGGTACCTGGTGTGGAAGGTACTAGGAAGAAGAGGGGTCTAGTTTGTTTCCAGTATCTGTCTCCCTAGTACTACAAACTTTAAAAAAATATAAACCCAGTGGCTTTTCCTTTTTCTTCTTTTTTTTTTCTCCAGCTGCATCTGGTGGCTTTAAACTTGCCATTCTCTGGGGACGTGCGAGCAGATTTTCAGTGTTTTCAACAGGCCCAACGAGCAGGTTTGACATCTACCTACAGAGCCTTCCTCTCCTCCCATTTGCAAGATTTGGCCACAGTTGTCAGAAAAACAGACCGGTACCACTTACCCATCGTCAATCTTAAGGTAAAGAAGGAGCTCTTAGCACTTGCTGTGTTAGTGTAGGCTGCAGGAGCCCCAAAACCTTGGAAAGTGGCAGAAGCAGAGAGTTCCAACTCAGACTGCATTTTGTAAAGAAGCGGCTTGGCTTTGTATTTTGGAATCAGATTCAAGAAACCAAAAAAAGCAGGGATAAAGTAGAGTTACAGACTGACATTTCCTTCGCGTTTCCGAAGGTTATTTTTCTCAATGGTAGAAATACAGCGATGAGAACAGCCTAGTTCCAGCGGCCTGCTCACAAAGCCATGGTGGGATGTTCGGCTTTTTGAGTAATTTTTATATCAGCAGGGAAAACGCATCCTCATTTCTTAAAGATCTGTTCTACCTTCTAGCACAGCAGGCTAAAATGCCTATTTTTCGCCTTTCTAAAGACAAATTCAGTGCTTTGGAGTCTAGAGCATGAGTTGGTCTGTGGTCTCCCCAGAGACAGACATGCTTCCAAACTGAGGAAAACAAACCACATCGCTGTAGCATTGGCAGGCTCCCAGAACAAACGGCAAAAAACCCTACAAGAATAACGTGTGAGGGTTGGGACAGGCTGGAGGGATGGTTGGAACAGGCTGGAGGGACGGTTGGAACAGGCTGGAAGGATGGTTGGGACAGGCTGGAGGGATGGTTGGGACAGGCTGGAGGGACGGTTGGGACCGGCTGCAGGGATGGTTGGGACAGGCTGGAGGGATGGTTGGGACAGGCTGGAGGGACGGTTGGGACCGGCTGCAGGGATGGTTGGGACAGGCTGCAGGGATGGTTGGGACAGGCTGGAAGGATGCTACTCTGAAGTGCATGTAAATACAGAGCCTCAGAGATGAATTTGCAAAGACTCCGTCGTTTCCACTTTGATCGGAAAAACCTCAAAAGCAGTTTTTGATGCTTTAGCCTTGAGTGTCGGCAGCCCTTTTCGAAAAACTGTGACCTCGACAGAAGTCGTGACACAAACTACCTCACTATTGTCTCTAGAGCTACAGTAGTTACATGCAATTTTTCAAACAAATGGGAGGAAAAGGACAATGGAGAAGGAAATGGAAAAGGAAAATGGAGATGATCAAGCCTGAATATTTGGAGTGACACTAGAAGAGGGATGCAGCTGTGAGGCAAAGGTGTGGATCAGAGAGCTGTTAGCATCGAGGTGATAGATGGGACGAATTTGCTCAGGAGCATCAAGCAGAAACTGATGTGAGAGCTGGAACCATGAGTGTTCTTAAATGCAGAGGAGATTTTAACTGTGCAGATAAGTCTACAAAGGTCAGGTATGATGGGAGTTTGGGGTCTGTTTTGTTTGTAAAAGTGGCTTTGAAATTTTAACAGGGAGAAATGCTTTTCAATAACTGGGACTCTATATTTAATGGCGACGGTGGACAATTCAACGCTCATGTTCCAATATACTCCTTTGATGGGAGGAACGTCATGACGGATCCATCCTGGTGAGTTCACATTACCACTTACAAGTTTTACATGACATTTACTTTTAGCAACATCTTGGGCAACTAGGAATGGGATAAAAGTTTCTCCCTTTCCTCACGTCACCTTTCTATTCTGTTTCTCATAGCCTGTGAATGGAATATCAGGTTGTGTTCTCCTTTTCTTCCTCTCCTTTTCACCTTCACCTGTCCTTACCCACTCTGCTTTAAGCAGAAGAAAAGCAGAAATACAGATCACCACACAGCATACAGGTGTGCAGCTGAATGAAGCAAAAAAAAAGAGACGTTTTCAGGAAATAACTTCTTAACCCTTACCTTCCAGGCCTCAGAAAGTAATATGGCACGGTTCAACCGCAAATGGGATCCGACTGGTGAGCAGCTACTGTGAAGCCTGGCGCACGGCCAACACCGGTGCGACGGGACAAGCATCACCGCTGAAGACGGGGAAACTTCTCGATCAGAAGTTCTATAGCTGTAGTAATCAGTTTATTGTTCTCTGTATCGAAAACAGTTTCGTACCCGATGCCCAAGGAAACTAAGCCACCCATTGTGCACAGGAATGTTCCATTTTATGACAGAAAAAGCCGACGCTGAAATTTCAGTTGCAACAATGTAAATATTTTATTGGTCGCAACGGCACGTTTCAGGAAAAAAAAATATATAGCCAAAGAAAACATACCTCAGCACAACCTGCATTCCAGTTTAGGTCGGACCATCCAGCGAGCATATGGCTCACTTCAGCCCTTCCCTTCTGCTCGATCCCCGCTCGCTTCAGCATTCGTCAAGGATTTAACTCGCACGTACATTTAGCAGCTTCTACGTCAAATGGCAGCTTTTTTTGATTTGCAGCTTCTAGGCAGGGGGCTTTATGCAGGGGGAGTGAATTTCACCTAGGAAAAAAAATAAAAAATAAAAATCCGGTCCTTATTTTGGTGCTATTGTTACCAGGAAACCTGGAGCAATGTTAATAGAAAACATCCTGTTTTACTGGTAGAACTGTGCAAAGTAAATGCAGACAAATGAACCATCTGACCTTTATTTATTTCACTGCGTATTAGAGGGAGTAATTTCCTGTCATGGCAGACTGCTGAATGGAAGATGTCTGTCGTGGCTTTTTTTAAAGAAGTTCTAGACACTGTTTCCCTCCCCCCGCAAGTTATATGTCAAGTGATTTTCCTTTTCAGGAATTCACCCTTCTGGCATTCACATAATTAAAGAACTGTTCACATAAAGTAACAGCCGCGATGATAGGAATGATCAGTAAATGCTAACATACTTTGCAAACAGCATCATCGTAATATTTGAAGTCTTTTGCCTATGTATTTGTCTACTGCATACTCTAAACAACATATTTACTTATATTTTATTGGGTCAAACTCCACATTATCATTTTTTAAGATTTAATTTAGAGCCTTTGTTGGAAATATTTGTTCATTTGCTGCCAGACAGAGTGTTATGTCACTAGAGACATCAAAAGACAAAAACAAATCACACTTATTATACTAAACTGATACAATTATATAAAATAATATTGTGAAATCCAGCTTTATTTTTCCAGTTACTATAAAAGCTGGGGGTCAGCTGAATCGTATCTTCTCTTTTTTCTTGGAAAAGTCACGACTCCATGATTACAACGCGATCATGAGGCAAAAGTAGTTTGTGTTACGTTTCAAACGCGCACGTGACGATTCACTGCACCACTGATGTGTAAGGTCCTGCTCCTTACTTACACTGATGTGTAAGGTCCTGGATTGCCTGGGTGGAGGCCATCCCAAGCACAGATACAGGCCGGGCAATGAGTGGGAGCAGTCCTGGGCAGAAGGATTCGGCTGTGTTGGTGGCTGATAAGGTCAACATGAGCCAACAGGGTGCGCTTGCAGCCCAGAAAGCCAACCCCATCCTGGGATGCGTCAAGAGATGTGTGACCAGCAGGTCAAAGGAGGGGATTCCTATCCTCCTGTGAGGACAGGCTGAGAGAGGTGGGCTTGTTCAGCCCGGAAAAGAGAAGGCTCCAGCGAGAGCTTATAGCAGCCTGCCATCCCCTGAAGGGGCTACAAGAAGGCTGGAGAAGGACTTTTTGCAGGGGCCTGTAGTGACAGGACGAGGGGCAATGGGTGGAAGCTGGAAGAGCGCAGGTTTAGACTAGATCTAAGGAAGAAGTTCTTTATGCTGAGAGTAGTGAGGCACTGGCACAGGTTGCCCAGGGAGGTTGTGGATGCTCCATCCCTTAAGCCAGGCTGGATGGGGCTCTGGGCAGCCTGATCTAGTGGGGATGTCCCTGCCATGGCAGGGGGGTTGGAACTGGATGATCTTTGAGGTCTCTTCCAACCTAAATCATTCTATGATTGATGGTCCTTTCTCCTAAAACACTTAGCCCTCGTGTGAAATGCCAAATTCCTTCAGTGCACGCGGCTGGAAGAGTTGCAGGTTTCACTCGGAGTCACAGATGGTTCAAAGCGGGGAAAATAAAGTGCTTTTACATGCTTCCAGCAGGAACCATCTACCTGTAATCCTATAATTGTTGGCAGATCCTCAGCTTGGCCAAGGCTGGGCCAGCAAGGTTTGCACCTAGAGACAGTCATCATCCAGGGAAGGATGAGAATAATAATAATTTTTTAAAAAAATGCAGTTTTTAGGAGATACCTAACTTTTTAAGCTGGGCCCAGTAAAAATACGTCCAGAATTCTGTGTGGATCCTTTCACAGGGCTAACCCCTCTCTGTACCCTGCTCAAGCTTAGCAGGGAACTGAAATGGTTCAACACCACCAGCAAGACGAAATAGAGAAAAACATTAGCCCAGCACTCAAAAATAAATTAGCTTTTCCTATCGAAGCAAAATATTTTTTTCAGCGTGATTCCAACACAAATGGCAGGGACACTTGAGGAAGAATATTTGCTAATTCAGGTAAAGAACTATGTTTGAAGCCAATAAATCACCCAAACGAGCACTGGAGCAAGGCTGGAAAGAATAACTGCACTAGAACCCGATTTAGCAGCTGAATGAATGAAATCAGAGCATCCATCAGATCAGAGCTTCTCACATTTAAGGGGAAGGCTTTGCCTGAAAACATCCATTTATTCTGAAGCTTTGATGTACTTTAAAAGGAAGTTAATATACTGTAAATACAGAAGAGATGGAAATCTTGTAAACCTCCAGAACTCCAAGGCTGGTTGATTGTATTTCGAGAAATGAAGCTGAGAGATTTGTCTCCACACAAATTGCAGGTACAAGCTATATCAACAGAAGCTTCCTTTAAATTAAGAAGAATAATACACAGTGGGGTTTGAGCTTCTGCAAAAGTTCTCCATTAAAAATAATTCTCCATTAAAAATAACTCTCCATTAAAAAATAGTTCTCCATTAAAAATAACTACAATTTAATTTTAATTAAACTGGTGCTTAAGCCAAAAGAAAAAAAAAAAAGGAAAAACCCAACAGATAAAACCAGTGACATCTAGGAAAAGTTAATTTGAAAAAGGAATATCGAATTGTTACTGGAGAGATTAATTTATTTATCATTGATAGTTTGGGGATGATAATAAATGCAGTAATACATAGTTGAACACTCACTACAGGTTCCTTCTAAACTAAAATAATTTTTTGTTTTGAAGGTAAATTGGCACATGAATTAAAAAATTGAATATACCACTACAGCTTGGACTTTGTTAGAATCAGACAACAGTTTTCAGCGGAAACATCGCTTTTTACTGCAACATTTCACCCGTTAGTACTGAAGTTGACAACTCTCTTCAGTCCAAAGAAGGCAATGGGAGACATTACCCGTGTCATTTTCAAAAACAGGCTTTAAATGAAGACATGTTTTTCTTCTATTTTACTTGCTCTTTAATAATCAAATGGAATTAAGGCTCCTCAGTAACACCCAACAGTGAGAAAAATACAGTGGTCAGACTTGAGCTGCCTAAATTTAAAGTAATAAGTCACTTCTAAACTACTGAAACCTCCTTTTAATCAAAGGTAGGTCAAGATAAGAAGTAGAGCAGCAACATTTTGGCCATCCGAAATGAGAGTTTCCTTTTCAAAACTCCCCCTTCTCGTTTTGCTTACAGGAAAGCAATGTCTAGAGAACAAATTAGGATTATTCATCAGGGGTAAGTCTGTCTGGAACACGCCGGCTTCGTGTGTTACAAATGCCGCGATGACTAAAGCTTGGTGTGGCCAAAGAGAAAGGATGATCTCATGTTTACAGCAACAGAACGGTGCCCAAAAGAACTGGATTCTGTCCCAGATTCCCTCGTGGAAGAAAAGCCCTGTAGAAATCGATCCGGTTTTGACCAGGTTAGAAAGACCGTGGAGTAGATCGACGTGTAGTTGTAGGAGAGTTAAAATACACACATTTTAATGTGTAAATCCAAGTGAGGACGGGGCATTGGTAACTCCAGGTCTGGCACTTGTGAGTGCTGCATTTGCACATTTTTGCACTCTCTCTCTTTTGTGTACGTATAATTTATGACACTTTTTTGTGCACCTAAAACACAACTTGTTTTATCTCACCTCCAGGATAATCCTATGAACGCTAAGAAGCGTTTCTTCTCAGCCAGTCTAACCAAATGGACTAATTCTGGTGTATTTGTAGGCCAGTCCATTTCTGAGAGTTGATTCAATTAGAAACTAAAGGTGTTATTAGAAAAAAAATGTCACAGCCAGTATTCAAAATGTAACGTTTACACTTCTTCGACCTTTAGCAAGGTTCTAAGAAAAACTGTATCCTGGGAAAAGAAAAAGAAACCGTTCAGCTTCTCAAGAAAATCTGTTCTAGGAACATGGCAGACTGGGCTTCTAATGACTTACAGTATAGCTACAAAAGGAATAATTTTCTCTGTAAAACTAGTAATAGAATAATATCTAGAGTATTATTCTGGCAACAGAACGGTACTCAGAGATACTTTAATTTGCCTAGTAAATACAGAACATTTCTTGAGCTCTTCATTTTCTGTCCTGTAATGCATTCGTTAACTTTGACAAAATTAATCCCGTGACTATTTAAACTGAAATCAACTCCTTGCCAGCAAATGCTTTTCCTTTCCCATCTTGTCCTCTTCATGAGGTCAAATATAGATATTCTTCCTATCATCGCTTCCACTGTTTTGTTGCCAGAATAATCCAGTGCCATGATGGACATTTTCCAGACATTCATTTAAAACACTCACTTACTCCTTAGTTTTTAAGTTAGGAAGTGATGCCCTTCTGGTCTTTTGGCGACGGCCACCTTTAAGCCTCTCTGACAAGAGGAAGTTTGGCTGGGCAGGTGTGATGAAAGCATTTGTGGTGTTACTGTTGAGGAGTGTCCTTGTTTGAAGTTCCACCAGGAGAAAAGTTCTCCTGAACCAGGTGGCAATCACAATGGGGCAGGAGAGGATGGGTCAGGTGACCCAAATGGACCAATCACAGCATTCCTTCCCACGGTGCTCACTATAAAAGGGCCTCTGAGAAGAGCCCTGAGGCCCTTAGTGCCTGCTGGGCTGGAAGGATTGGTGCTGGCTGTTCTTCAGCTCCCTGTGCTGCTGGTGTTCTGCTTGGG